TGATGTTCAGGACGTAGAAAATTTCATGATCTTCAAGTAATGATAATGACTCTTGAGTTGGGTCTACTACAAGCGGCTGTAGGCTTGAAGTTGTTGGGCCATGTTTTCCGCGCAGAAGCCGACGGAAAGCGCTATTTTGTAGCCGTCATTTTAAAATGCGACTATTTTTTTTTTCACGTTTTAAAATCTGAAATAAAAAAAGATTTAATAGTCTAAGCCAGAAGCTCGTACGATTTTTCATGCTCCCACAAAAAAAATACAAATTTCGCCCGATTTTTGCCCAATATCAGGGAAGGGTCTCCTTAACGCACATGTGTGTATGTACACACATATATAAATATATGTTTTTTTTTTATTTTATTTCTTTGGTTTCTAATATATTATACAGCATATACAAAGTATACAATAATCTCGTTGGTTTATATTGCATCGAATATAAAATTTTTGAGACGAGAGATGTCCAAAGAATTAGGATCTGTACAGCAAATCGAGAGAGCGCAGCCTTTGTAGACTTCGTACTTCCTCGCTATTGTCTAGCAAGTTCTGTGTACGGTTGTTTAGTTTCCCGATATATCTTCTACTGAAACTTTTTATTTCGTCTATGATCTATGGGTACAACACATTTCTCAGTAGGCATGCCAACAATATAGAACACCAAACCGTTGCTACTTATGCAGACGACACTGCAATACTTTCTTCCTCTGTCTCTGCTATCGAGACTGCAGAAGTTGTAAAAAAGGAATTGAGTGAACTATTGTACAAACCTCTCTAATAAAAATTCAAAATTTCGATAAAAAATTCAAATGCTCAGTCTCAATCAAACCGTAATTCTTAGATCGAAAAGTGCTCAGTATCTCGTACTGCATTTTGTAACCGCTGAAGCGATTTTCGGCCGAGCTCCTCCTCTGATTTGTGGTTTTACCCTAATGTTTTTTCCAACAAATGTAGGGACACATAGTTTATACAAAGCCCCCTCCGAACGGCGGACGGTTTTTTTGAGGAACCTTTCATTTCATGTTATAAATACACTGGGAGGGGTTGACACTCCCTGCGGATGGGTGACCCCAATTAAAAAATTTAAAATTTAGCTAACTTATTTATTTAAATTATTTTTCTATAACTTTTTGCATGCACGAATCTTCCGAATGGCAGTACGCAATGCTAACCACTCGGCTACCACGACCGCCGGACCGTATATAGATAAGAGATTAACTTGGTGTGAACATATTAGAGCCAAAAGCACGCAGTTCAAGATCAAAACCGGAAAAATTAGATTATTTGATTATTTGCCTTGAAAATGAAAATCAGTTCTCAAAACCAGTGCTTTTGCTGGTACTTTATAATCAATACTGCAACCACGTCCCACGTCTAAATAATTGCGAGACATTGCTCTTTGTGACTTTTCGCCATTTTTGAAAGCAAAGATAATCCTAAATCCCTAGATGGCATTGAAAGCGTTGAATAAATAAATATGTTGTTAATATTATTTGGTGAACACACCTCGTATATGCTAGAAGTGAAGTTAGCAGCACTCAGCATACCACCGCACAACCTCGGTTTAATAACCGTTAGTTGCAGAAATGGAACGATGAATATTTTTTGGCAAAATCAACACGCGTGCACACGACTTCGTCCGGATACTTCGAAGAACTCCATCAATGGAGTGGGCGTATATAACGGTATTTTGCGCTTAGTTTGCTGTTATTTGCCATGTTTTGTCGTGTTTTGGTGCTGTTAAACATCGGTATTAGCAACAATATTCGTGAATTTACTACTTACTTTTACTTTCACCAAAAATTGTTTCGCGATTTGTATACATGAAAACTGATTTGAATGAGTTGCTGGTACTTAAATTTATGCGCCTGCATAGATATGTATTTATGTATTTACAAGCATTCATATGTACATACATTAGGGTGGTAAAAAAAAAAAAAAATTTCCATATTGATTTCGAACGGCAATTTCCAATATATGACATACGTTTGTGGAAGTTAAGGGAACTCCTCTCCTCTCTCGGTCAGCTAAAGACTCAATTCGATCACCTCTACTCTGAAGTAGCACCAACTGACAAGAGGTATTCTGCTTTGAATTTCCTGACTAACATTGTTGTTGGTGTTAATACTGGTTCAAAGGTAGATAAAATTATCTACGGCTTCAAAGTTATGTTTTTTATCAAAATTTTCGTGAAAGCCGTGTCGTGAATGGGTTGACTGTTTGTTTGATGACAGTATCGCCTGTCTTACCCTCGTTTACCACCACACCTAAACGCTTGTTTCCCGTAACCAGCTAAGAGAGAGCATAACTCACGGAGCGGTTCTAATATACTTCTTTTGTACCTTCCCTATTCAGCTCTGCCGCCCTTATTATTTTCTCCGGCAACAAATTAAAGAATTCACATTATAAGAAATCGCCTTTCTGAAGCATCGTTCGCTCTCGAACGGCTCCGAGAGGGTCTTTCGGATTTGGGCGGAGCATTTGGTTTTGCTTAACGTCGGTTTATATAGCCACTCCTTTTGGTGTATGTCGAACCTCTTTCATGGGTAAGTTCCAAAATTTGGCGCACGGTGAATATCTTGTCAATTAAGGATTTACTTGGTCGAAAGCCACACTCATCAGGTCCAATTAGTTTGTTGATAGTGGGCTTAAGCCTTTCAAATTGCTGGATCCACTTATGCGATATAGGGTGTTCCTAGCCTAAGGTATTTGGCGCAGATTGATTCAAATCGAGGGGCATGCTTTCGTTTGAGCGTATTCTCCAGAGAAGCAGCTGAATATAATCCTTCGTTGCCTTCAGCTCCTGCAACTTTGTAGTTCCTTAGGCACGCAATCGCATCTCGCCATAGTCGGTTAGTAGAACATATTTTCAATTATCATCGATTGAGGTTTCGGCTTCACCACCACCGGTTGTTGCGCCAATGCCATGGCAGGCTGGTGAGGTGTTTCTTCCACGAATTCAGTGGCTAGACCACCGCATTGGGCACTACAAATTTTCGAGCTCCTCAAGCTCTTCTTACTCGCGCGTCTCGGTCCCTCTCTATTTCTTTTGTATTGCTTTCCTCTTCAATTATCGGTATGAATTCCGTGTGGCGGTCGATCGCAACGTAACGATGTTTACAGTCTGCGAAGTCGGTCAGCCTCAAACCCGACGAAATGCTTCGTCGTATAGACTGAATTTTTCAAAGATACCTAACGCTAAAGTTGCCAAGCACAATTTCGCCATCGTTGTGGGAGTATTGCTTAAGTACGTTGCAGGTTCCAATAAAATGCTTCCTTAATCACATCGTCCTTGTCTTCCATTGGGGCGTGGAGGCAAATCAGTGATGTGACGAAAAACTTCATTTCGATGCGGTTCTGCCAGCACTCGACGACGGAGTCTTCCTCGCACTACGAATCCAAATATAGCCGCTGCAGTAAATGACCCACTTGCTTTCGTCCTTGTCCCATCCATCGCATTTCTGGGACAACGGTGATCGAACATTTAATCTTACGATGTCATCGACCGGCATTGCAGCCAGAAGTGGGTTTCTTTATCTGACTGCCGGGTTCCATCTTCTTACAAAAACGACGACCGCTTGCAGCCGCACCTGTGGTCTTTGGCTTTAGCGAATCCTTAAACCGAATATGTTGGAGTGACTACACTTATGTTCTCTCTGTCTTAGCCGTGACCCAAGGTTCCACAAAGGGCTGATTGTCGCATCTTCTCCAAGGATTTCTCATGCTTCCAGGGTGTGAGTCATGTACGCAGGAGTAGGAATTCAGTATAGCCCTGCGACTTTCAACTCAAATGCCAAGCTGATCTGGTTGGTTAGGTTAAAAGAAATAATAATTAAACTACCCTAACGCATATGCGTACCATATACAATTGATATTGGCACAGCAGTCTAGCATAGTCTGAGACTTAACTTGCCAATCGCTGAACTAGCTAAACCGCTTTGCGGGGCCGTCATAATGGATGGAGGCCACATTCACCTTTCGTCTTCGCCATAAACTTTTTCGTCATTGCCGCCAACATCGTCATCATCATCATCACGGTCGCCGCCAAGACTTCGCTGGATTTCGGATTTTTCGTAAACGAACACGCGTACAACACACGTTACCCAGTATGGCGACGAGGACGAGAACGAGGTCGTGAGGCAGAAAGCTTTGAATACATGGTAATCATGCGCCTAAGGGACACAGGTACGAGTACAATAATTTTGGCTTTAACGGTCAAATAATAATAGCAACAAATGAGCGCTGAAAACAATACAAGCAAACGAAAAAGCAAAACAATGTGTGGGCTGGAGCTAAAGAGGGGGAGCACCCGAAAGTATGGTAAGTGAAAAAATAGTAAATCTTTCACTTTCTTTCGCTCAAATAATGCTCTTACGAGCACGATTTATAGTCGATTTACTCGCGCAGTCAACGCGAGTCATACAAAGGGACTGAGTGAGACTTGCCATGCAAACCCCTACTTAACGTAGAACACACAGCCTACTTTGATGTTTGCCTACGACACTTATGCCAGTGCATACAACAAGTGTACGACACACATACGTACATACATATATGAGTACAAATGTGTACTATATATATGCGTTGACTGGTTGGCGTGTCAAGTACCACGGCAAGCGGGTAGGTGAAAACTGGGGCTGAGCGGCTGACGGAACTGGTGGCGTGGTGGCGTGGTGGCGAGTTGCGCGTATTGAGGCGAGAGCCTACAAAGCAAACCGAACTTAAACTTGGAGTTGACTGCAAAAATATTCACTTGCAATCAGAACGTCCAAGCGACAAGAAGTAATTAAAAGCGAGTACTCAGCAAAGTAAAATAATAATTACAATAAATATTTCACTTTCAACTGATTTTTGGCGAAACAGACCCAGAAAGGGAAGCTCAGTGAAAAACAAACTGTGTATATAAAATATTTATTTAAAAAAAAAAAGTGTTTAAGTGCAACTCATAATATTTTGCTTTAAGCTCAAGCTCGTCTCACAACTTTTGGATGTTAAGCTTTTGAATAAATTACCAAAGAAACGAAAAGTTAAAAAATTTAAATAAAAGTAAAGACAATTAAATATTGCTCAAAACACTAATTCGTGCATGCATAACCTCAAAATTCGCTTTGATTACGCATCACTAGCGACATTTTACGCGCCAGCCGTTCGACTCACCACACCGGAAGTGGGCGCTCATTAAGTGCGGCGTAAAAAAAGTAGCAGAAATTCGTGTAACTTGCATAAAATTAAGTGAAGTTATTTACTTCTGTGCGATTACCTAATACAAATCGTAGTTGGAAAACGAAAAATTGGAAAAGCAAAATCCAATATTGAACTTTAGTGAAGAGCTTTGAATTAAACTTAGTATAAATTTACAGCTAAAATCCTTCAAGAAATAAAAAATAAAAAACACACAAAATGCAGCCACTAAAACGTTTCACACAATGCGGCAGTCTGACAATGCTCTTTGGCGTCTTCATTATACTCTTCGGTGTCAGTTCGACAGCTTTGACCACATTTGGCAAGACCAATAATGATAAACCAACACCAACACCAATAAGTAAGTTCAGCTTTTGTATTTACCATTTGTAGACACGCGGGTAAGGAGCTGTGAAAGTTTTTTTACACAATCGAGCAACAGAACAGAAATGTTTTAGCCAAACTTGCTTCAGTATTTCTATAACTTTTACACTTAGCATAACTGAATTTATGATTATAAAAAAAGGTGCTGAGAAGTAGTCGAAATTGTGTTCAAACCAGCGCTCTAGACACCTGATAATCGAACAATGCGAACATATCGATACTCGCGCGATACTCCTTCATTGCTCCGCTTCGCAAATGTTTTTTTGAATTTTTTAAATTTTTAATTTTATTTGTCAAAATGTCTATAGTATTTCAATGAGTTTTAAATTTTGCATAAATCTCTTTATAATTATTTAAATATGTTCAGGGCAAAAAAGTCACATTTTTTGTTTCGAATGCTTGAAAAAGTTCGAATTGCTAGAAATTTTTCCAATATTCGCTGTTGAAATGTTTGTGTGAACGAACGTTCGAAGTGCCAAAACGTATATCTCAGATATTTCCTTTGTGTAAATTTTTTTTTTTTTAAATGGAAGCAAGAACAAGCAATCATATGATGTGACAACTTCACCTTCTGTAAATTCGCCTTGAGCAATTCGAGCAATTTGAACAAAAAAAAAATTTTTTATACACAATTCATTTATTTACTGGATCTGCTGATAGCTCGCGTTATTTAACTTTGAGCCCTTTTCAAACTACGGCGCTTTCCTTAGAAGGCGGGAACATCTCTTCGTTACAGGCGGGAATTTCTCGATGGGTTGCATTAGGCATTACCTAGCGGATTCGGATGATTTCTCAGCTTTGTGAAGTGCTTCGTCCTGCTTCTTTTAATTTCAGGCTTAACCAGTAAAATACCAAGGTCTTTATGAATATTTAGATTACGAACGTACCATGGTGCGCCCCTGAGTGCTCTTAAAATTTTGGACTGGAACCTCAGTATTTTATCATTAGTTGCACAGGTCGTTCCCCACAGTTGAATGCCGTACATCCAAATTGACTTTAATACTGCGTTGTAAATAAGGACTTTGTAGTCTAGTTTTAGACCGGAGTTTTTATTTAAAAGCCAATTTAAGCCAGCTGCTTTTAATTTCATGTGCAGTATTTTTGCCTCTAAGTGTCTCTTCAAAGTGAGACGTCTATATAAGTGTTTACCGAGATATTTAGCATCACTCACTTTCCGTTCATTAACTTTAATTCTCCAGTTTTCTAGTCATTCTTCGATCAGGAGTAAATGATCGCTAATCGTTTTTGCTGCTCTTTTAGGGCATTTATCCCGGCATAAAATAGCTGTGAACAAAAATTGATTGAAATACTGAATAAATACTTAGGACATTGTGACAAAAGTGAAAATTGTACAATTTCAAACAAACATCTGAGCAGTTTAGCTGTGAGCGAGTATCGAGCAGTGCGAGCGGTGGGTATCTCTAGATAGCTCTAGTTCAAGCAAGTCAAACCCGCCTGCGAAAAAGAGACAAAGCAGCCTTCTAAAGAGCAACGTCAAAACAGCAGCCCATTCCTACTAATGGGTTTTAATTTTGTTTAAGATTTTATTACTTATTGTTAGACTCGACATCGGAAGCAGATTCAATAAATAAATATTAATGTTAAAAAAAAAGTTCAAACTACTCGCACTGCTCACAAAGCATCGAATAAAATATTATATTTTCGACTTATATCTTAAAACATTTTATTTTATTTGTTTGTTTGATTTTGACAGTGGATTTGTAATGCCAAAACAAGTAAAAAGCACTACCTTCAGGTAATATTGGGTCTAGCTAAGGTAAACCATTTATTTGACCTAGTTAGAATTATTCGATTGTTGGCCAAAACTGGATGTTTCTAGACGACTGTCAGAATTCCTATTTCGGAACTGTGCTGTACCTTCAGACTTTCCAATCGCTTCCAGTACAGTTCCGAATTAGGAATTTGGCTTCAGAGGAGCTGCTCATAGTGTATGATTCCTTGCCAATCTTACCAAACACTCAATAAAACCTTTCTGGCTATCACTGCTCTTCAATCAAGACCGTTCACACTAATGTTGTTCTACTTCCCACCAACATTTACCATCCGTTTCAGTAATGGAAAATCTGTCCATGTAGTTTTTTCCTTCGTTAGCTCATTTGGCACCCCTATGTCGGTTTGTGTATCCACCCTTGTTAAGCTCAAAATTGTCTTGTGTTAAATATTTAGCTCCTGAGTAATCGAACCAGTGCTCGTATGATTACCAGACTCTAGTATTTCCAGTATCTTATCGACATTTTCAATAATTGGCCTTCTACACCGAGCGGCATACTATTTTACATCAAAATTTCCGGAACGAAATGGACGGAGCCAAAATTGGGCAAGATTAACTGTTGCAACAATTATTCACATCTATCGAAGAAAAATTTGTCGAATGTAGCGTATTTTCCCTACGCTAATGTCAATCTTTGACATGCACCCAAATATTACCGAGTTAAGTGATCAACAGACTTCCCGTTATATTTCTTTGTGCAAGATCTGACCTATAATTGGGGCTTTGTAACCGCTGAAACAGTTTTCGGCCATGCTCCTCTTCCAATTTGTGGTTTTGCGTCTTGATTTCACACTTTAGGCCCCTTTCATTGTGCTCATGCCGAACAAACTTTGAAATGCACGATCCTTTTAGATCTTTTCGTAACGATTTTAATACACATTTTGCCAACATCGTACTTGCTTTTCTGTATCAAAACCAACTTATTGAGAGCTTTGAATAATTAAGTAAATTCCTTCTCCTTTTCCCATGTAATAATATACTGCTGATGAACAAATCTTTAGCTGTGCAGTGTAATAGGCAAGAGTAACCGCGACCTTCCGCGATCAGTTTCGGAATCAGTGCAGTCCGGACTGTTACTGGTTTTCGGCCACCGGTCTGTTGATCGAATATCCCTCAGACTCGACCCTCGGTCGGTTTGTAGGCGGGAGGTAGATAGCTCTGGGTTCGTTGTAAAAAAGGATTGACATTCCCTGCCTAGGGGCGACCGCAACTAAAAAATTTAACTAAATTTTTATATCTTTTTTTTTAATTAATTTTCTATAACATTTGGTTGTTAGCACGACACCAGGATTTGCTCTCAGGTCTTCCGGATGGCAGTACGCCATAACTAGTGAAAATAAATTTATAGAAAATGCTATTGTAGAAAGCGAAAGCAAAAATACTTATAAGACCACTTACATACGTGTACGTAAAAAATCATTTAACATTACCAAGATTTCTTATGATAGTAGATTTGCGCCAACAAATTACTATACGTAAAAAATATGGAAATCAAAGTATGCTAACAAAATTTGAGAGAAATTTATTCAATGTCAGAATTAACATATTGATATTCATCCCGAATGATATTTAAAAAAAAAAACAAGTTTTCCCAAATTCATTATTTCAATCTATTGTGAAATTCGCAGCATCTGATATAAAGTGGTAGCTTTATTATTGCCAACACAAGTAAAGCACGTTCTAATAACAGCAAAAAATATGTACATACATACACAACGTTTGTATATATTTATTCAAAATTCTGAATTACGCAATGCAACATTTTTCAAATCACCGTTTCGGGCAAAGATTTAGGCGATTGTTGCCTAAACTAGAATTTCTGCAACTTTACTTTCGCCATTCATGTGGCTGTGTCGGCTGGGCTTAAAGTAAACCAATTAATTATATAGAATTTTACGAATGTAGGGATCTATGCAATCACCATCATATTGCCGTAAGAACGCAAGGTTAGAATAAGCTTTGGGTAAAACCCTCATCAAACAATACACAAAGATCCAAAAATTCATTAATGAAAGAGAGAAAATTATAAGGAAGATGATAAGTCGACTTGAGCTCGTTTGTGCACTTTGAAAAGGTAATATTGAAATACTAAAGAAATTTTTAACAAACAAATTGAAATTTGGGAAATTACAAACTATCATTTGATCAATTGAGCAAAGAATGAATATGGAGCGAGTACGAACTTCTTACAGTACACGCTACCCGGGTATCTAGAGCTTTATTGTAGACAAAATTAAGGTAAATTTAAGAATAAAATTGAATAAATAAAACTAACTTCTTAAAATTTATTTATTTATAAATGAAAGACATGTACGTACATATATAATTTTCAATTTGTGGTTTTGCGTCTTGAAGTTCTCCCCACAAATGGATGGACTTACAGTTTATACTTAGCCGCCTACGAACGACTGATGGTTTTTATGAGAAGCCTTTATTTTATGTGAGAAATACACTTGGACATTTCCAACCAATTTCCAATTTTTTTAAACTTACATTGTCTTAATTTTTTCAGACCTCAACCCGGCAAACTTTTTCAGTTTAAATAAAAGAAAGGTCGCTAAAACCATTAATATTATTTCTTTTTATTTAAATTGATTTTCTATAACTTCTGGATCTTAGTTATACCCGAGTTCGAACCCAGGTCTTCCACTCGGCTACCGCAGCCGCCGACATGCGACATATAAAATAACATAAAATGACATGAAATTTTAGGGAGGATGATGTAAGAGAAACGTTTCGGACCAGTGAGCAGTGAACATAAAACCGTATTTTCTCCACAATTAGGAGACCAATGACTCGCTTTGTTTTGTTTTTTTAAAGACTCGGTTCATGAATTTTTTTTATCTCAGTAGAAGGAGAGTGTGATTGATACTATGGTTTACTTCTGGTCAGATCGATCTATTATAATGCAGCGGTTTTGAATAAGTAGAAAAGAAAACGCTGCAAAAAAAAGTGGAATCATGTAAATTTCCTTCTTGTTTGACGTATTTACAAAGAAGCTGAGTATGTATTAGCTTCAATTATTCCAAACAGGCTTCGGTGACGTCGTTTTTGTGTATTTCAGGAGTTCTCCAAAGCCAAGCCGCTATGTAAAATATGGTTGTGAGTGTCGACTGCTGGAGCTCCATCAAAGTACTTTTCTCCTAATTTAGATCTATCTACAGTCTTCACAACTTTATTACCCC